TAATAAATAGTTGTTTAGGATTTTTATTCAAAACAAAAGCTTTAAAAGAAACCAACAACCCCCTCCTTTGTGGGCAGACGGAATTTACCGTAAATTTGAAGTTACCCTGGTAAGTCACGTGACTACAGTGAGCTTCCGGTGGCCATGAATCGAATGTATTGGAGAAAATATTCCCATTTAAGTTGAATTTATTCAGTTTTGTGCTTTATTTTATGTTGATGCAACTCTGTAGTAACGCACCTGATATGATACAGCGAAATATGCCTGGCAATAAATTGGGCAATGTATTGTTTGTATCCGCATTATTTAGGATTTATATATTTGATAAATGTATGGCTACTGTTAAACTCAGCGGCGTCCGTGGCTAAGGCGTTGCGAGTCCGACTCGTAAGCCAGCATACCGCGATCGATACCCACTGCAGGCTGCGTGGATTTTTGTCGTGGTATGGGGACGTCGCAGGTCGACCCAGCCTAAAATGGGTACTAGGATGGGCTGTCCTGGGAAAGTGCGAGTCCGACTCGTAAGCCAGCATACCGCGATCGATACCCACTGCAGGCTGCGTGGATTTTTGTCGTGGTATGGGGACGTCGCAGGTCGACCCAGCCTAAAATGGGTACTAGGATGGGCTGTCCTGGGAAAGTAAAGACAGCCGGCGTAATGCTGACCGCATTACCCACAGAGTGCTGATGGTCTGTAAAAATATGGGACACTCTGCCCATATGCCCGATGCGCCGAAAGGCGTGAAAAGGGAACTTTACATTATTTTTTTTTTACTGTTAAACTCAATGGAAAATTAGATGGAGGGTGGGAGCTGGTCCACAGTAATAAATAAATGGCTTGCCTGGCTACGTGAGATGTGGTCAGTCATTTCCTGTCCGGTTTCCGTTTCTAGGGGAGCCGCCGTGGTGTAACGGCTAGTCTTTTGATTACGGATCCCAAGGTTGTAGGTTCAAATCCAAAAGGAGCCGGACTTTTAATCGAAACTGACCTTGGCTCCGGATCTGACCCTGTCTTAAATGGGTACCAAGTAAAGTCCTGGGAATTTAAAGCAGTGTTGACCACGTTACTCCCCGAGTGCCGATTGGACTATCAAATATAAGTCTAGCCATTGAAAGGGTCCTTTAATTGACATTTCGTTTCTAGACAATAGATACTTATTTTGATAGTTGTCTGCGCACATTTTTCGGTTGACCACAGTGGATGAACGAACCGATCACCCAAGACACTCGAGAAGAGCAAGTTAAATGATGAAGCCTAAATACTGGGCTACAGCCGTGTATAGGTCATCATCAATCATCATAAACTACTTGTGCCGTTGAGTGTCCTGCGGAGGAAAAATTTGCGATCCAGTGCACACTGGCTGCCACTGGCTATTGTCATGCCGTGAAGGCTTAGGGAGTCGATCCATTTTTTCGCGGCCTTCCTCTTGCTCTGGTAGCTGATCTTCTGAGATGTAGTGCTTGTGGCGGTATTTGATCTTGCTGCATTCGAACGAGATGGCCAAACCACTTGATCTGCTGTTTCTCAATGATCTAGTGAACGTGTCGTTGACACAATTTGCCTGATAGTTTCATTATTCAGTCGATCTCGGATGGTTAGGTTGGCTGCTTTTCTCAGGCACCTCCTCTCTTCTTTCTTGTTTTTATTCTTTTCCTCTTCGTCTTCTTCTTCTTCTTCTTCTTCTTCTTCTTCTTCTTCTTCTTCTTCTTCTTCTTCTTCTTCTTCTTCTTCTTCTTCTTCTTCTTCTTCTTCTTCTTCTTCTTCTTCTTCTTCTTCTTCTTCTTCTTCTTCTTTTTCTTCATCATCTTCTTTTTGTTTACGTTTACCGTCTGTAAACTCTGGCAGAATATTTTGGATGTTCGTCCACCTGCAGACTTCCGTCTTGTTTCAGAACCGGAGTGCTGCTTGCATATCTGTTTTACAGATATGAGTTATGTGTATGCAGACTGTTGGTTTCTTGCCTGTCAGGTAGATGCACTCTGACTTCGAAGCAGGTCTACAATTAGCAGACTCTTACAACATGTTTCCTGGCGAAATAAATTCTTGTTTTCCTCTTAATGGGGCTCCGGAACACACACAGGGGTAAAATTTTCTAAAATATTATATTAAAGAAAAAATTTACAAACACACACACCTAAGAGGAAACTCTTGGCCCGGCATATTAATGACGTATTTCCATTGCACAGGATGCTTCAGTAGATCTTCCATACAAGTTATATCCGACTGTAATCTGGAGAATCCAGCATAGACCACATGCTCCAGCTTGCTGGCCACGAACACGTTGGGTAGGCATTTGGCAACTGACTTTACAGCCTGCAGAAAGTCTACGCTCACAATGGTGTCCACGCTCAGGCAGTAGACGTTGTGCTGATGGTACAGTGAACGTAGCAAATAGAGCGCCTATAAAGGTTGGGGAAAAAACAACGTGTGATCATCTCAAGCCTACAATTTTTGAGGTTTTGAACAACGGATCAACATCATGGCACACGGGTAATAACCCATAAGTGCTCCGTTCTTCTTCTAAGTCAAGTTTTAATCTAACCAGAAATTGAACCCGAAACCTCTAGCACTCGAAGCTGACAGCATGCCTCAAGACCGCGCAGTTCCCCCTCCCCTCCCTTATGACAATGTTTTAGCATCATAACAAAACGTAACCATTGACCCGATAGGTCGTCGAGGTGTATCAATTGAAGCAGTATAACACATATCCCGCTGTATTCCCCCCCCCCCCCCCCCCCCCCCCCCCCCCCCCCCCCCCCCCCCCCGTTAAACAAGTGCATAGTAATTTAGTCCTGTCCAATCCTTGACGTTCGTCAAGTCACGAACCAAAAAACTCTAGACAGTAATGATAGCCAATCGAAGATGGAAATAGCTTGGTCACGTTATCAGAATAGGTACTGATATACGTGCCGAAACAGCTCCCAAATGGATACCAGAAAAAAAAGTGCTAAAAGAAATATGGAGACGAATGATGGAAAGTGACCTGAGTGCGACATCTCTGACATGGAAAACTGCACTGAAGATTGCACAGGACAGAAAAACATGGAAAGTCTTATCTGAAGCCAGTAGGCATAAAGAGAACTGATTTCTTGATGTTGTTATTCCAGGTTCGTTTTTGCTCCCTCTTTTTCGACTACTCCTCAATGCTCGCTGAAGTATATTCTTTGCGATCGAATCATATCTTACCACGCGCCAGAACATACTAGCTTGCGACGTTTTACCATTGCGAGAAGAGGCTTCTGATGTCCTGCAAATTTATTAATATTTTTCATTACAATGTTTTTGTCTCTGTTATCGGTCCCTCCTTTTTCTGCATGATTTTGTTTTTGTTACAGTTACGTTATAATTCTTCATTTTTTTTTTTCTCACTTTTACACATGCCTGTCCTTCTTTTAGTCATCTCATTATCCCAGTAATTACCTAAAATAATTTCCATCATTTTCTTTTTGTCTTCTGCTTCTCCATCAGCCTAACAAATTGATTAATTTCATCTGCTATCTCATAATATCATGAATATTCTCGATCAGCTTACTTTCCACATGAATTCCTCTTTTATCTTAACCACACCAAAACGTTTCATTTCTAGCTGTCCATGAAATTATTTTTTTTCGGCTCACTCGCACTCAAAATTTCTCTCGCCATGAATCGACTAAAATAAATATACTGTACTCGTAGTATACCATGCTCACCAAATGGGCTTTCTCGTAATTAACCAACTTTCATCATCATTATCACATAACACCGAGTGTCGAGTTACCATTTACTATTGACTATCTCTACAGATTCCTTCACCCCCGATGCTCTAGTGTGTTGTACCCTTGTGGGTTCAAGAAACAGAATAAACTCAATGTCCCCTAACAAGCATGTCGTACAAGCTGACCAATTAGAGTTGTTAGCTTTGAATCGGAATGCATCTGGCTGAGATGGAAGGAACCAACAGTCAGCATGCAAATAAGTCAGATCTGCAAACAGATACTCACATTCTGCAACAAGATCAAAGTCCAGAAGTGGACGAGCAATTAAATCTCCACAAAAAGGTTTGCAGCCTGTCGACGCTAAGAAGAAGCTAAAGAAAAGAAGATACGATGGACATATTTTTTATAATTTGAGGTCTGTGCAGTCAGCCAGATTTTAGGTCTGTATTAGATTTAAGATTAAGACTTTTAGTGTTCTATTACTTAGCATTTAGTCAAAAGATACTACAGAAATCTGGGTAACCCACTGACAAATGCCATTTTGTATTTTGCCATTTTGAAAATAATGCAATAATGAGTGTCATCATTGTCAGTTCTTCGCTTTAGCAACTCCTGTGAAACCTTCAGATACCGAAAGAATGAACTCTTTATCTGTAGTACCGAACCATGTTATATCTTGTTTTGGGTAGGCCGCCAGATTCTATTATATGTCCGTTTTATTGAATTTTCGGTCTTATAACGCTGGTTGGCAGATTCAGAACATAAAATAAAAATATATATATTATGCAATAAGTCGCTCTAATTTAATGTCAGAAGGAGAGTGCTGAAATATTATATAGAACCTGTTCTGCTGTATGGAAGCAAATCTTGGAATGTCAGAGAACAAATTTTGAAGAATTTTGAAGCAACAGAGATGTGGTTTCTGAGACAATTGTTACGAATACATTGAACGACAAAAGTAACGATTGTTTGAAAGAAGCTAATGAAAGTAGATCTCAGTATACAACAATAAAAAGGAGACAAACATTGTTCATTGTCAACATAATGAGAAGAAAGGCATTGAAAAACATCGTGACAGCTGGAAAGATCCGTGGAAAAAGCGGTAGAAGCAGACCAAGAGTGATGGTGCTGGATGGGCTAAAACTAAGGCATAGAAGGATATCAAGAGAGCTGTTTCAGGCAACCAGGGATCGTGAACACGAGCGCCCACGCCAACTGGCAAGGCACATGATGATGATGACAGATTCATATTTGCCAGTAAAGGAAGATGTGCAAAATTTCGTTCGTCGTGTGTGATTTATGAACACTGACAGAAAGATCAATGGTCATATAAAAGTACTTATATTTGTGCTTTATAGATTATACCAAAGCATTTGACAAAGTAAAGCATGAAGAGATGATACAATTGTTGGAAGACATCAATGTAGATGGGAAAGATCTCAGAATAATTAAAAACATTTACTGAAACCAAGTCGCAGCAATTAAAGTGGGAAACAGATTGGGTACTTTTAAACAGATAAAGCAACGAGTATGACAGAGATGAGTCTTATCCCCAGACCTTTTCTCTCTGTATAGTAACATAATTTTGAGGGAAATTAAAGAAAATGCGGGAGCAAGAGTTGGAGGAAACAATATAAACAATTTGCGTTTTGCAGACGATACAGTTTTGATAGCTGAAAATGCAACTGATTTACAACAACTGCTGGATATTTTGGGTATGGAGAGTGCTAAGAAAGGACTTTCATTGAATATTAAGAAAACCGAAGTAATGGTTACATCAAAAAAAGAAGATAATTCCACGTTGTGATATCTCAATTGAAGGAAGAAGTCTTTACCAAGTCAATAAATTTAAATGTCTGGGAACAATCACATCATCAGATGGAAAATGTGTGACAGAGATTAAAAGCAGAATAGGTCAAGCGAAAGATGCATTTTAGAAAATGAAAAATAAGCAATAAATCGAAGATTGGTCTCTAAAATATAGGGTGTAGCCCTAAATGACCAATACACTTAAAGGCGTTGTAAAGGATTCTTTACTGTTACTTTCGTTTTACTTACAATCCGATATGCATAGCAACTGTAACAGAGACACTACTCTTTGCCCTACCTGATCAAGATCCGAGTAAAAGAGAATGATGAAAGCAATGGGGAAGTCGAGCTCTTCCTGCGAGGCTGCCGGATACCTGTTGTAGCCATACTTCTCGATGAAAGATTTACAATCCGAGGCATCGGCGATGATATCTATTGGGTGAGTCCGCTTCACTTCGGAAGGAAATATGCTGGTATTGACTTTTGTTTTTAACGCCGTTGGACAGTCTCTTCCATATATTTCTGGAAAACCTATCCATTTGTTCCGATACGCTTCCGAAATATCACTGCTATTGTTGGGAATAAGCTTCAGTTTGTCTGCTGCCTGTTTGCCAGTATCCAGGTATTCAGTGGTACTGCTATTTTCGTATTCTGTTTTGAAAAATGGCTGTATCCAGCTTAGAAGACCATTATGATGTTTATTGTTGGTTTCGTAAACTGCGATCAAGAATACTATGAGGATAGCAGCTACTGCAGCTTTGAGTAATTTTCCTAGGAAGAAAAATTTAGTGTAAACGTCTACAAAATTTTGTAAAGTTAAAGCATGTTTTTTTTCCTGTTAGTATTTTTGTAAGGAGAGAGAGAGAGAGAGAGAGAGAGAGAGAGAGAGAGAGAGAGAGAGAGAGAGAGAGAGAGAGAGAGAGAGAGAGAGAGAGAGAGAGAGAGAGAGAGAGAGAGAGAGAGAGAGAGAGAGAGAGAGAGAGAGGGGGAAGAGGGAGGACGGGGGAGGGGGTGGTATAAATATCTTCATTGTCAACATTATTATCAATTGCTTGCCGATTAGCACAGGAGAACAACATGTTGCTATCACCACAAATATGAATCAGTTTGTGTGCTGATTCCATTTGAGGAAATGCGTAATAAAAGATTGCCAAGAAATTGTTGTCTCCCTCAGTCTCTGCTTTCATGACTTGTTTTTTGTTAATTCTTTATGTCTAAGCGACATATTATTCTACTTGACTGTTGCGTGTGTCAGTTTTAGAGAATATTGTTACATGTAAGAGAAAACGTTAATTTACATAAAAATGGCCAGGCAGAAAATCCCCAACACAGAATGGGAGAAGACTGCGTCAGACGAAAGCAAGTACACACGTTGTTAGTGGGTCTGTGAGAAAGGAGAGAAGCACTTGAATAAAGATAAAATAGGAATAATACAAAATGAACACCTGATATATATATATATATATATATATATATATATATATATATATATATATATATATATATATATATATATATATAGGCCTATACAGATATATATGCATGCATATACACACACATTTATGTATATACATTAGTTAATTAGTTAATTAGTTAGTCTTTCCTCTTGTGTCAAGTGCGGCACATAGGGCAGAGGTCATGACTCTCCATGCATGGCGGTTCGTTGCAATCTGTTGTAGGTCTTGGATGTTTGAGTGGCCCATGAGTGAGCCTTCCCTGATGATAGTTCTACGTAGGGTTCTACGTTGTTGAAGAATCAGATTTCTGTATATACACACATGCATATATATTGGATCTAGGCCTAGACCCTTTTTATATACATAATTTTTCGGCCATGTAATGAGAAAAGGGAAAATCGCACATGTGGTGACCACTGGAAAGATCTGTAGAAGGAGGGATAAAGGAAGACAACAAGAGAAGATTTTTGACAATCTTGTTGCATGGCATGGAGGTGTGTCAGGTCACGAACTAATACATGTTGCAGGAGATCGCAGATTGTGGCAAAGCATAATCGCCCCTTCCAGTCGGCAAGGCACCTGATGATGATGATACACTATTCGTATTCTTATTCCGCCGAATAGTTGGTCCCATTATTCGTATTCGGCCGAATAGTGAAAATCCCTATTTGGTACAGCCCTAATATATATATATATATATATATATATATATATATATATATATATATATATATATATATATATATATATAAACAGCTCTACGTAGATGATAGGGTCACTTATCTTGACAGCAACCTACCTCAGAGCACCACTGATGACAAGATCAATGCTAGAATCTCAAATCAAGCATCAGTTTCAGCAAACATTGCTTCAACGTTTAAAATCTAGATCGTACACCCTTGCAGACAAATCTATAAGCTTTCAGGGGCTTCAGTTTTACCAGTACTACTACTATTACATTAAGCCTGTGAAATATGGGCACTGTATCAGCGGCAAGCATAGCAACCGAATCGGTTTCATATAGCCTGACTCAAAAAACCCATGAGATTTAAGTGAATCCGAAGACTGGTTCTCACTAAAGTGAACCTGGCAAGCATCCACACACTACTTAATAAATATCATATATGATACAGACAATGTATTGATCGGTAGTCATAGAATGAAGTAGAAAGATAGAAAGACAACCAAGACAACATAAAAATCAAAAAGCAATAGTTACGGTTACGGGAATCGAACCTGTCACCTCCATATGGCGTATGCGCTTAGCTATAGGATCAAGTGCACTAAGAACATGGTCAACTATGCACCCCCCCCCCCCCTCAATGGTGTCTTAATTGGCTATGTCTATCGTACAGCTTGACATTCACGTTGTAAATTGAACTTGACAATTTTGAACATCGTATACTGTGCATCATCATCATGTAGCAGGTCCTTTGCAGAACGTAGCTCTCATCACAGTCTGCCTGTAAGAAACTCGGTCTCTTGCCAGTTCTCCCGCCTCATGAACTTTCACACTCAAGGAGTCATTTATATCCTGTGCCCATCTTCGTGTCGGTCGGCCCCTGCCCCTCCTTCCTGGTACCATGCCTTCTGCTATAATTTTTTTCCAATCCGTCGTGGCGTTGATATGACCAAAATATTTCAGCTTTCAAGAGAGGATGCTGTTTATTAGCCAATCTTCCTTGATGTTCAGATCTTTTAAGATGTCAATATTTCTCATCTTCTTTGTATATTGTACACTGACTTTAAACCATTAAAACCTTTCTTTTTCTTTTTCTTCTTCTTCATTTTCTTTTTCTTCTTTTCCTGCTAACCCTCCTCATTCATCTCTTTTACTGCATTTGACATTGTAGATTTATTTAATACTCACATATTTATTTGAAAATAAATGTTTATCCATTAATTAAATTCTTACCTGCAGGACAAGTGGGATAGTACATGGCAGAGAATTGTGACTATTTGCGATTGTTACGCAAGGATTTCTATAAAACTAGTGCATCTTGCTGAAAAACACAATACAAATTATGATTACGAAGCTTAATGGAGCTGTCTGTATACGTGTACGAATGGATGTGTGTATACAGGTTTGAAGTAGTGATTTTTTTTTTTAAGTACGCAGAAACCATGAGTTGTTCACCCTTTGGCTCGGTATTATGGATTTCGCAACCCTTCGGCCTTTATTCCATCATATAGGTTAGTTGAGTATCCTTTACAGGACGTTGCAGAACCAACCCCAACAACCCCTGGCTGTTGTATGGTTTTTCTAGGCAAATTTACGTAAATAGTTTACCATTGCTTTCTGGATGGTCGGCTTCCTTGATACCACCATTGAAACCAACGCAAGGTGTCTACCCCTGGGCATAAACCCGGGCCACAAGGAGTTCGTCACCCGGTTGTCGTGTAGTCAGCTTTTACCAGCTGCGCTAGGAAACCGGACGATGATGCGATGGGTATGGTTGTAAGAGAGTATGTGCATGAATATGGATGGACAAGTATGGAAGTATGTGCACGTCTGAGTGTGTATATATGTGTAGAGTATGAACTGTATGTACAGCAGCAACTGCAGCAGCAGCAACAGCAACGTCTTTCTCTTCACCATCCTCCTCTTCTTCCTTTTCCTCATCCCCTTCATCTTCTTCTTATGATTATAATGATTACTATTATTTTATTATTATAATTTTTTTTTATTACGACTCTACTTTCACTGTTAAAAGTGATGCTGACACATTGTGTTGGGGTTTACAGCCATGCGCCTTTCCACCCAGAACATCCGACTTTAGCGAGCACTCTGACAGTCGCTGTTTCAAGTTAGTTGTATCCTTTACAGGACGTTGTAGAACCAAATCTAGCATATTTTTTTTAGCTTTTGTGGTTTTTTGGCGCACATTTTCGCCTAGTAGTTTGCCATTGCTTACTGGACGGTCGGCTTCTTAGAAAGGATTATGACTGACGCCCTAGAACAACATCATAGAACAGTTAGTATAGGAGGTTGAACTGTTACAAGCATAAGGTTTGCGGATGACATCAATGGGTTGGCTGGGGAAGAACAAGATCTAATCGAGCTTATAAATCTGTTTCATAAAACATTAGCCAAGTATGGCATGGAAATAAACGCCAAAAAAAAAAAAAAAAAAAAAGGTATTGACAAATAATCCAGCTGGCTTAATTTTGTTGTTGCGTGCTGAGTTATACACTAATCCGCACACTTCCAAGTCTCTATAGATATAACTTTCGCTCCCACACTCACTCTCGAAGCAGCACTCGACAACAATAGTTCCGTCATACAGTATTTGTATTCGACAGAACACCAGAGGGTAGTTACAAGCCCTCACAACTGCATACCCAAAGACGTAGACATTGATCCTAATTGACATTCGAACATAGTCCATATAGTCCTCACTATCTCTCTCTCAACTTGTAGAGACCTCTCCCTGACCTCTACAGCTCCGAAGTTCTACAGCGTCCCACAACTCTGGGTTCGCCGTACAGCAAAACAGGACGAATTCTTCTATCAACTGGACCTTGATATTACTTCAGCAGACAACAACGGCTGACTGAAGACGGACTTCACTTGCTCGTTCTCCAGCATGTGCCCACAAAACATCAGCCTATCGAAGGACTCCAAAGACCGACAGGACTTCTAGCACAAGTCCCCTCTAGCACAGAGCTCTCGTCAGCATAACTACTGTTCTGTTTCCATGGTGATCATACGTCTCCTTGCGCCGTCACCCAGAACTGTCACTATTTAAGAATCCAGTCCCCTTGGCCTTAATTCGCCAGCAGGACTATACCTTCGACCAGTATCTTGCCCAAAACCCTTACACAGACCTCCCTGTCTGACGGTTGTTCGGTACTCTGTCTGTCGAGAGATACTAACTCTGACTTGTTCTCTCTCTTTCTCTTTCTCTCTCTCTCTCTCTCTCTCTCTCTCTCTCTCTCTCTCTCTCTCTCTCTCTCTCTCTCTCTCTCATCTCTCTCTCTCTCTCTCTCTCTGCCTCGGACTCTGACTTGGTCTGTCTGTATCTCTCTGACGTACAGCACTCTCGTGCTGGGTGTGTACTACAACCGCACTTCCCTAGTGCTTTAGCTCTCTGGCTGCAGCTCACTGACTCGGACTGTCTACGCAGCCCCAATATATCCCCCCGAACCCATGTGGCCGGCTGATGTTATATGCGAGGCACGCTCGTGTGGGCGTTCTCGGCAATCATGCTCACGTGGGCATTCTCTTGAATCAAGCTTATGTGGGTGGCTGATGTTCCATGAGAATCAAGCTGTCACGTAATTAATACTTTCTCTGTGCGTCTCGTTAACCATACTTGTCAGCCCCCACCATGAAACCACGCATTAACTTTCTCCTGACACTCCACTTCTCACTGGTCAATATTGTCTCCCCTCACTACTCGGGCCAATGTTGACACTGTTCATGGGGCATTTCCTTGAACTCCCGGAAAGTACTATCATACCACTCTGTCCCTTCACACAGTAATACACTCTCCCAAATCAGCACGCAACATTTATCAATATACGTCAAAGGTCACAAATTAGAACAAGTCAATGATTTTAAATATTTAGGATCCATTTAAGTGACTTGAGGTCAAGACCAGAAATCATGTCTAGGATTCCCCAGACAACATCAGTCTTTGCCAAACAGCAAAAATTATGGAGATTTAAGTTTTCGGAGTGACATTTAGTAGATGTGCATCCATTCATGTGGTACTGCTCTTTTTCCATGATGATCTGGTTAAAGGAAAAAAGCCATCTCCCTAGGGTCTTCGTCGCTCATTTCCAGGTGTGTAGACTTTCTTGCTCTCATCTAGCCCTGGCAGGATGCTTTATCCACACCCCCCCCCCACCTACTTTTCCCCCCTATTAAGCCCCAGTATAGGTATAATACCCCCAGCATGAATGATATCCTCATAGTAATTAAAGCGGCGTCCGTGGCTTAGGCTTTGCGAGTCCGACTTGTAATTCTAACGTATGAAATCCACTGCTGGCTGCATGGATTTTTTTTTTCATGGTATGGGGCGTTGCAGGTCGACCCAGCCTAAAACTAGTACCAGGATGGCTGTCTTGGGGAAATAAAGACCACATTACCCACCCAGTGCCGATTGGTCTGTAAAACTATGGGACGCTATTCCGACATACCCGATGCGCATAAGGCGTGAAAAAGGATCTTTACTTTTTTTTTTTTTTTTACAGTAATTAAAATTTATGGTGCTCGATAGATTATCTCTAATTTCCCTAATATTATGATTTGTCTGCGTTACAAATTTCTGCAGAAATACTTTCTATTTTTGAAACGCCCCCCCCCCCCCCCCCCCCCATAGGTATACTGCTATCTCTGTATGTTGTGTCCGATTTTGTAACCGTCTCTCTCTGTATTTACTTGAATTTTTCCAGTTATTTGTCCACCCTATATTTAAAAAAAAAAATGTTGCTATTTAAATCTCCCCCATCCCCTCTTCCCCTTTTTTTAGCCAGTTACACAGCGCTTCTCAGCAGTGGAGCATAGGCTTTCAATCAACTCACGCCAAGTCATTCTATCCATCGCTATCGCACGCAGCTCTCCCTATGTCCTCCCTATCTTTTTAACTTCCCTCTCCAGCTCCCTTCTCCGTATGTCTTTTTGGGGGGGGGAGGGGGGGGGGCTTCCCTTATTTTTATGCCCCTGTGGGTTCCAGTGTAAGGACATTCTAGTTATATTGTTCTCATGTTTTCTCCGTGTGTCTTATCCAACGCCGCGTTCTTTTTTTTTTTCCTTACCTCTTGGTCTTCTGTTTAAATCTCTCCTAAAGTTCTAAATTAGTGACTCGATCATAAAATTGTATTTTAATTCCCTCTTTCTGCGCAGGCACCAGTTAATGAACATTTGTACTTTATTAGTAAGTGCTTTAGCTATTCTCTGTTTTCTCTCCTTACAACAGTCCTGATTTAACATCAGAATTAACAATGTTATGTTTGGTATTAGTTTTAATTTATTTTGACCTCCACTAATTCCTTAATGCAATGAAAGCTCTTATCTTGTACATTGTGTATTCCTATATATATATAGATATATATATATATATATATATATATATATAAGAACTATATATATATATATATATATATATATATATATATATCAGTTCCCCCATCTTTATCTACATTACCGCTTAAATAGGTGTATAACCACGTCTTGTAGTGGTATAGCAATAACAGAAATCTAATTACTATTTGCCTGATTTATTCTAATTATCTTTGTCTTTTCCCTATGGATTTTCAGCTGTTGTGATCTCGCATCAAGTATATTTAATTTATCTTGTATCTGATTCCGTGAGTGGGATAGACGATAAATATTATCAGCGAAAGCAGATCATCAAGCTTTTTTTTTTTTAAAAGGGGTCCACTGAATTCCATTCTTGGTGTTAGCAGTTGCTGTCCTAATCTACTGTCAGTAATCACAGGAGAGTCGACAAAAGACACCCCTGTCGCACACCTGTTTTTTTTTTTTTTTCCAGATGTATCTGTTAGCTTCCCTTAATGAAGAACTTGTCATTTTATGTCGTTATGTGTTGCCTTTACCAAGTTAATAATGTTCTGTGGGATTCCACAATGCCCCATTAATTTCCACAGAATTTCCTTATCAATGCTGTCAAAAGCTTTTTCAAAGTTTGTTAATCCAATGCCAAATAGTGAATTTATTTAATTCAATGCTTTGCTCTATCATTGTACGTTAAGTGGCTGTCTGGCCAGTCCAGGATCTGTCTGGACAAAAGCCTGCCAGTTCATCTCTGTGCTTTTTATCAGTAGTATCTTCTAGTCTTTCCAAAATGATTTCTTTCTAGTTTTCACACTCCTGTGGATCACCAGTTATTTCCTCCGAGTCCTTGATCCAATCCCAATGTTCTTTTGTGACAAGTGAATCTACAACGGTGAATACATTTATTACATTTCAGGT